GATTAGGTTAACCTGAAGAATCCATGTTATTGAACAAAACAGTAAATTAAGAAGTTATACTTGATTTACGCGTTTGCGAATAAGTTGTACATGATTTACGCATTTGCGAACAAGTTGTATTTGTTTTCTGATTCTAGTGGATTTGTTTTCTGGACTTGGTCTCATGCAGTGGAAAATGAACCCTAATTAAAAATTCTATTATATCATTTATTTTCTGCACTACTATTTATTGCCCTTGCGTTTTCACTTAAAATTAACCTTTTTTCTTGCAGGAGTGATCAGCTTAATGGGCCGTTGTTTGTTGTTAGCTGTTTTTCTTTGAAAATAGTATTCTCTTAACTAATAGTGGGTGAGATGTTTTATACATGTTGATTTACCATCACTACGTAAAATCAAGATCAAAATGAAAAGGTTTATAAAAATCGCTATATAATACGATTTAGGAAAATCGAAGCATTATGAATATTCTAGAAAATATTGTTTTAGTGAAAATAGACAAAACAACATCACTTTTGTTTATATAATATCCTTATGAAATTAGCTGATGCGGGGGAAAAAATATTTTTTGCATGTACAATTTAACAGAGTTTTTTTTTGTGTGCAACATTTGTTTCATTACTTAACTTTCGGGGTTACATAAATTCATAATCCAGTACATGAAAACATTAGAGATTAAAGCATAAAAACCAACATAGTTATACGACAGCGAATCTAAGAAACATTCTACATGCGTTAGTATAAATTTCACGGTTAGGCCGGAAAATAGAGATTTGGTCACTTTGAGTCGTGACGTTGAAAGATTACCCGTACCTCCGAGTCTTGTAAGGACGAAACTGATTGCATCTTCTGGTCCCGAACAGACCACTACACAAGAGTACAAATCGGTGAGGGAAAATCTCGGTTTTGGTTCCGAGATGGATCTTACTCTCGATGAGAGAAGAAATGGTGGAATTGTGCTCTTCCTGAATGGGAAAGAGAATGGAATAGGTCTCTCCGCAAGGGAGAAATTTACTGGATTTGAGAATCCAGAAAACTTTGTTTTTCTCCCGGAAGAAAAATCACCAAGCTTAAAAACTGATAATTTTCTTGAAGTGATGAGAAATGGACCACTCTCAAAAGAGAATAGATTAAACGCCTCTAAATACGTAATGGGCCAAGCCCAACAACAAGATTTGTGAATCTTGTTCAAAAGCTCGAGCCTCTGGAAGCCCAAGATATTAAACGCTTGCGATAACGTAATGGGCCCAGCCCAACAAATCTTGTTCAAGAGTCTAAGCCTCTTGAAGCCCATGCTGATAATAGATTGGTGATCGGAAATTTTGCCGTCGACGAGGTTGTCGGTGAAGCATCTTCTCGAACCAGAGATTAAAATCGGATCTAGGGTTTGATGGCGGCGAGGCAATAGTTGTGGATCTGACGACGTCGTCTGCGATTATATTTTTTGTCCGAAGCTCAGGACAAGACAGTTAGAGAACTCGCCATACATCATAGAGAACGACGGAAAGCAGATTACCAAGGCCGTGAAGACCCGGAGGTGTCTCGCCGGGGTAACCGACGAAAATTAGGCTTGTTTCTTCGGCTCCATCAAAGCTGGATCCGAGACTAAAGGAGCCAAAGCTTAAACGCCGGTAAGGGTTCCTCTCTATCATCTCATCGGAGTGGTTCCTCGGCATTCGCGCCGGGACAGAAGCTTGATAGAGAGGATAGGATAGATCCAGTTCGAGGGGAGAGTCTAGAGGGTGGAGATTGGGAGGAGGAGCCATGGCT